TGGTGAATCAGAATATTTTTTCCACTTTGAAATGTGATTTTTTTTTTTAACCTTTTTTATTGTCTTATAATTTCTCGGTAATTCACTGGTGGTTGTTTTTACCTAGAAGCCAGTGCTTGGACTGTTCAGTGTAGGACAGTGGTTCTCCATTTCTTTTTGTATTCAAAAGCCACCAGGCAGAATGAGACTAGTAGCAAGCAATCCTCAGAAACACTTCTTACTTTGAGTTAATTTGTATTGGCAACTCTTTTTTTCTGTCTTTTTGAAAGAGATCAAGGAATCATTTAAGGAAGACCTGTGCTCTACTAACTAACCCTTATTTCATCGTCTGAGCTATCAAACAGAATTAATTTTTCAGTACAGTTCACAAAACAAAGTCTAGTATGATGTGGCGTAGTTGTGAAAATATCACTTAGTCCTGGTTTTGCTGTTGTCATTTTTATTGCATCCCTTCAGAAGAATTTGAGAGAGATGTGTGAGGGAATCATGAGAAATTGGTGACGTTTTCCACATACTTCATGCAAAAGGTCTTTCTGACTTATTGTGGTTACTTCTGTGTCCTCTGTGTGTATAAAGCTGTGCAGATAATGGTGGCTCTGAATGGGCTAAGGATCCTCAGATGCCACTGTCTCGGGAGATAATCTTTGCCAAAACAATTGGGCAACCATTTGAATTGCTTGGAAATTTTCTGATGAAATAGTCTTTTGCTGAAATTTATCAGCATGGTGAAATTGAAATGTTTTGCAGATATGGACTGACTTTTGCCAAAGTTCTGATGGAACCTAAGCAGAGTGGTTGCCTGTGCGCAGGTTTTTGATTTTATTGCTTTTCTGGTAACTCACCTACTTGGCAGGCTGCTGTGATGCTCAGGCTTCTGGAATGTGTGCTGTTCACTCTGCTTTTCCACCAGCACCCCCAGGTAGCTTTCTTCCTGGGATAAGCTAGAGCAGTGGCTTCATTCGGTTGTGAAGAACACAGAAATCCACCCCTTTCCCCCTTTTTATTCCTAATCAGAATGAAAAGACTAAAATCCTCATACCGACAGCTTCTGTCCACTTAGTCCCTGTGTGTCATGCAAGCGGATCAGGCCAGGATGGTTACTTTTTCCTTGTGCAAAAGTTCATGGACTCTTGCTGAACTGCTGATACAGGCAGTGGTTTGCCAAGTGAAAACTGTAAGCAAATGTTATCTTTGCTTCTGAACTTTTTTTAGCGTATGTTTTGTCATTGATATGTTAGTCTGACATCTTTGTTCTGTATCTGCTTGTGGCCATATGCATTCAGATTTTGATGTATTAAAAATCCTCGTGTAAGATTAATGCAGAGCTGATGAAATGGGAAAATTCCTTTGCAGTCACTTAACTTTTTGCAGTTATTTCTTGTATGTGCAGTTGTTTCCTGTGTCAGTGGCTTTGCATTGGGGCAGAGCATGCATGTTAGGAAAAGACTATGAAAACTGAAGACATACGATTTCTCTACAAAACATATTTAAATACATTTTAAGACAATATTTTATGTTTTTATGAAAGCTGTTTTTGACGTCAGAGCAAATATTACCTGGGAAAAGACAACAGTTTTCTTAATGGAGAGGAAGATGCGTTTAAAGCACAGATAAATTTTATGTGTAAACTGAGTGTCTAAGCAGTGGAAAAAGTTCTCAGATTTTCCACATTGCTTAGTTTTTTTTTAAAGGTATTGTTGAGTACTTTGATAAAGTTGCTCAGAAGAATGTTTTCTTATGACTATGTAGTGGAAAGATGTGAATCTGTTGCTGTGAATTTTTTTTAAACACTAGCTGATGTAGTGTGTTTTGCTTGAACAAAGACTTCAGAATCTCTTGTTAGTCCATTAAGGAGCAGTGGCATTTCTGCACATGCTGATGTTTTAGAAATACAGTACTTTATTGCTTGTCAAAAAAGTGTATGTATTTGGTTCCTTGAATTTAGCATACTTCTGTGTTTAAAAAAAACCCACCAAAACAAACCTGCATACACAAATCAAATCAGACCCAAAATGCAAGAAATACTGCATGTTGCATGCAGAATATGAATACTATTGGTACCTTTTTACGATTTTAAAGTTTTCATAGCGTAACAGGCTATGCTGAATGCATGTTATGAGAAAGTTCAGTTGTACGCAATTTTTCTGTATATTCAAGCTGAGCTGTGAAGCCTATAGTTAAACATTAAGTATACATACTAACTGTAAACAAAGGTAACCAAAACAATTAGAAGTGGAAACTGACTTTTCTTCCTACTTTAATCTTGGTTTCAGAGGTTAAAAAATTATTTTAGTGGTCTTGTAACAAGACACATAATAGTCTTTAGAACTTACTGATGTTCTCCACCACTACTGACTAATGTAAGACCTGTTAGCGCATTTGAGAGACTTTTCTAATCTCCTGCCTACTGTCTTAAGCCTGTACGCACTGTTATTTGGCAAGGCTGTTGTGATTGATATTTACAATACTTACTCAAACTCCTTGAAAGAAGGATATGTGTATAAGCAGATGGAAAGTGTGCATGTTTTTGTCTTCAGTTTATACAAGATGTCCTAGTCTACTGGCAATAAACACACTGAGTTGTTGAGAAACAAACTATGTCTTCAAGGCCTTACTTGTCAATAGAAAATATTATTTTGATCTTTCTTTGCGCTTGCTAGTGAATTGAGTATTCAAGGTACTGAGTGACACAGGCACAATAAAAAATAATTGTATTTAATAGGAATTCTGAAGACTTGCTGTGAAGTGACTGTTTCAGGTTGTAGAACCTCCTCTGCATAACAAATTCTGTGTTGTGTTCTTTGCAGGTAATGGCAACTTGGAGGTGATGAACTAATTTGTTTTGACTGAGTTTCATTATACTCTTAAGTTCATTTTGGAATTGGGCATTTAAATCCTTGCAACTGCTGGAACTGTAAGCTAGTGTAGACTTGAACAAATCAGAGGGAAACAGGAAATGGAGGACCTAGGTCGCTGGCAAGATGGTGCACTGTCAGGTTGGTCCAGCCAGGAATGTAGGTAACATTCTTTTCAACTCTGCTGCTGAAAGAACAAGTTGCGTCAGATGAGACTTAGTCAGCCTGTGAAAGTATTTAAATGGAATTGTTTTATAAGGTCTCGATGCAGATCCTATAAATAGGTATGTCTGTAAATGTGTGCGGAAGAAAAAGTGGTTTAGTCTCTCTTAAAAAAAAAAGAAAGAGGGAGAGCAGTATATTAGTGTAGCCACCGTGAGCCAGTTCAGCTTGGAGTTTTTCATCTCCAAATTTCCTTGCTTCTTGTCCAGAGCTATGAACTGCTCTTTCATAATCAAGCAATCATTTTTCTGTTTGTCATGTAAAGAAAGATAGACTTAGTATTAGGCTGCTTTATCCGATTTTTGCATTTGAAATGCAAGCTGCAGTGTCACTGAGCTGATTCAGAGTGTTCTGACCCTTATTCCACGGGGCTCTGCTATGCAGAGAGTAGAAGTGGCTTGCGTTCTTAGCTTAACCTGGTTTGTCCCATCAGTTCATCAGCAGCTGTCTCATGTAGGTAATGATACTACACATGCTTGATCTGGAGTTTGTGGTAAAACTGCACAATTAACCGCAGTCAGGTAGATCTTCATGCAGTTTTGCTCAAAGTCAAGCACCTGACAGGGAATGATGAATGCAAGGCAGTTCTGAGCATGGAACAGTACTTTTAAAATAGAAAGTAATTTAGAATACCCATCAATGCTCCTCGATCTGAAACCTGCATGAGCAGGTGGTGGCTCTGTGCTTCATTTGAAGCCCGTGCTCTCAGATTGGTGTGCGTGGAATGCATGCTCGGTAGGTCAACGGTAGACTGTTCTGCCCCAAACAACCTCTCCTCTCCCCCTCCGGCACTGTGGTACAGGTCTGGAAACCTTGCATTGACTGTACTGGGCTTTGAATCAGACCTTAATTGGATGGCTAGACAGCATTTGAAGGAGAATCTCTGGAGGTGCATACAGAATACACAGCTGTCCAAACAAGGCAAAACTGCTTGTCTCTAAAGCCAGTATTGCGAGGGGAGAAACACTGATCGTTGCCATGACAGTCTGACTTCTGTGGGAAGAGAAGCTGAAGTTACTGGTCATTGAGGTGGGTTCGTTTTTCCTGGGATATAGATGACAGATGCAGTATACACGGCACATGGAGGTGAGGAAACTGTATTGATTTCCTTCTCTCCAGTCCAGGGAGACTTGTGTCTGAAGAGTCATCAAATATAAAACTTGCAGAGTTCTGCCATTCTGAATTCTGTCCCCTTTGAACTTCCGTTGTATTTTTTCCCCTTTCTTCAGTTTTAAAATTAATTTTTGCTTCTCTGTCAGGCACTTTCCTGTGTTGGGGGAGTCACAACAGGGAATTTATCATTTTTTCACTGGTGCAGGAAGCTGCTGTTGTGCTGATGTGCTTTCAAATACTGTTTCTTGCAACCACAGAGATGTTGTGCAAAGAGCAAGGGTGGGTGTGCCTTTGTCCTTCCTGCTAGAGGACACTTGGTGTTAACTTCCACGTGAATTGAAAGGAGTGGCTGTTGTCAGATTTCAAATAGAATTAGTTGTTCTGGCTAAAGGGAGTGTTACTACATAAAGTGAACCTAACATGTCTCTTCTTGTAATTATGTTTCCATTTCTCTTTTCAGCATGTAGTGCCATCAGTAGTTCTTAAACTGATGTGTATTCACAGAATAAAAAAGCATGGTGGGCGCAAAAAAATATTGCTAATTGTATTTCAAGTCAGGTGTCTATTTCATGCACGGATTTCTTGCTGAGGAGCAGTCTGTGATAGTATAAAAAACGTGTTTTTTTAAAAAATTGTGTTTAAAAAAGCCTAAATTTAAAAAGTTCTTGGCAAAGAAGACAGGACTTTGGGCAAACGAGATAGGAGTGGATCACTCTATCTGAAGCTAAACACAGATGTGCATTCTTAAAAAACAATGCATTATATATTGTTCACAGCCATTCTTTTAATGTTAAGTGTTTTTTTTATTGCAGATACATTATGTTCCACCACCACTTGTGTGCCTACTTTGTCTGACCTCCTGTGAATACCAGCAGCGAGTGACTTGTGATGTGCTTATTTAAAGGGCTTCATTACTCTAATGTTTCGTACAGAGATTTCTCAAGTGATAAAAGGTAATTACCAGTTGGGGATTTATCTGTAGTGAGAGAATGGTTTGCTTTTTGAATCTACCAAGTTGCATGTTTTAAGTGGTATGGATTAAGATCCTAGCCCTGCAGGTTTCCCTAGAAACCCCCTACCCCCCCAAAAAAAAGACATCAACTGAAAGTGGGGGAGGATTTTTTTCAAGAAGAGAGTTTAGATCTTGCAAAACAGGAAGAGCCCATAGCTCAAATTGTCTTGTAAGAAGAAAAAAATGTTATTCTGAATGGGGCTGTGAATGCTGCATATTATTAAATCATGAGGATTTTGTAAGTCCTCCGCATTTTAATTAAATTTCTTGCTAAACGGTGGTTTTCAATCTCATTAATTAATTTCTTCCTGGTGACATAAAAAGAACTGTAAGAATTAGTGCAGCCCAGTGTGGCTGGTAAATTAGTCCTCAGTTAGGTGCACTGGAGGTACAGACAGCGACAGAGAATTATATATAAACGTGTTGCATTGTAGATGTTGGTGCTTGTGGTTAGAGCAACATGGGGAATTATTAATGTTATCCTTTAGAAACTGTGAGTTGGATTATGCAGATTAGGAACATTAAAAGAATCCTGTTGGATCAAAGCCTCTGTTCATCAGTACCAGAATCAGATCTTTTATAGTTAGTAGCTTTGATCTCCAAATCAAGATGTTTATATTCTATCCAGATTTTGTTACACATTCTTGTTACATGAACATTTACATTCTTTACCAAACACAGAAATTCTTTTGAATGACAGGATGATAACAAATCTGTTCTGTATACCCTAGAAAATGATACTCAGATATGTTCTGCAAACAGGTAGATTAATGTCTCCCAGTATACTTAGTCTTGAGTTGCTCGACTGTTACAATGGTTAGAAGAATAGGTCTTACTTTAAATATTCTGGATGAACAGCAATTTTTTTTTCTGTGTTTAATGTTTTTGTTGTGCTGGTGCAATGGTCTCTGGATGGAGCAAAAAAGGGAAAACCAGTTGTGTGCAACTGGAAACTTGTCTGCTGAGAAATACAGGTAAAAGCAGTTTTGTTAATGCTGAGCTCTTTCACACCAGGAAGTGGTGACCATGTGTTTCAGTTACTGCACCTGTGAAGCTCTGTCCATAGAACTGGTTTATATGGATCTAAAGGACAAAGGCCAAGAATATGTGTTTTCTGTTTTTCAGTGAAGAAACTGATTTAGGGATATTTGTTGCTTTCACCTGTCTGTTTCCATCAGCACTTCAACATAAAAGACAAACTTGAAAATTATTTAAATTGGGGTGGTGACACAAATACACAAATAATGTCTGGAGATTTTTCGCAGTGTTGCATGGAACCTTTGAAATTAGTCCAACAAAAAAAAGCAGAGTAGTCTGTTACAGTATTTGCTTTTCATTTTTTACTGCACTTTGTTGATATTTCATATTCTTAGGTATGATTAAGCAAGGTTCCCTTCTTGGTATATGGAGTTTTTTTACATAGAAACAATGAGTAAATGATGAGGGGGTTTTGAAATGGCAAATGTGTTTGTAAATGCACAAACTTTATGACAGAGAGCTAGGGAGAAGCCAGTCTGTTTAGTTTGCTTTTGAAATTGGTCAGGCTTTCGGTTAGTTCTATAAACAATATTTCCATTCAGTGTTGGGTGTTGGATAGACCTAATACCAAGTGACCGAGAAGAAAGGATCTGTCTGTTCAGGGGAAGGTTTGTGTTCAACAGAGGGCTAGTATTAGAGTATTTTAGAAAAATTACTGTGGCAGTTAAAGAAGACTTCTTCCAGAGATAGAAGCTGTGAATGTTTTGTATAAGCAAGTGGTAGAGCATAAACATTAAGTCCTATGTATTATTGACAGAGGTAGTGAGAAATCTTTTAAATATAATGTTTCTAGTGATGTGGTGGTTATTTTCTTCTACAAAACGTGATTTCCTTGGATTGAGAGAAATACAGTTTCTTCCTTAATTGAACGCTTAACTTTCTACCTGTGTGCTGCCTTTGCAGCTGAAAGCGCAGATCTTATCATTTAAAGGTGGCTGGCTCTGTGAGTGGGGAACAGGGAATCTATAAGCCTTGTAGATCAGGAATGTAGTGAGTGACACGTGCATGCTAAAAATTGAGGTTTATATGTCTGTGATACCTTGGCTCTTTGTGTTGCTTAGTTTGGGAAATAAAATGATGCACTTTCTCTTGGTGATGATGTCTGTCTTTTTTTTCTTTCCCCCAGAATTACCATCATGGTAGCATAGTTTTATCCTCCTGTGTGTGTAATTCAATCTTTTTATCTGTCACCTAGCTCATGGAGTTAATGTTTTCCGCCTTTAAGGTGATTAGCCTTTTTTTCTGCTGACTGAACTGTTGTCATCCATGTATGTAGCACAGGTCATCTTTAGCCCACAGAAACATATAATCATGCAGTCATTTTTTCCTCAGTAATTATAGTTAGGAGCAGAACATTTAAAAAACTTATACTCCAAACAGCTCTTTTATGGTAAAGCAACATACTTCAATATAAATAAAAGCTGTTGAAAATTGCACTTTAAGAATGTAACACCCATCTGCCTATGCAAAACAATAAACATATTAAGTTAAACAGTAACATTTGCATAGTCAATATCTTTATTAACTGTTCAGTATCTTCATCAATGATATACAGTGGGATTGAGTGCACGATCAGCAAATTTGGGGATGACAACAAGCTGTGTGGTGCGGTTGACACGCCAGAGGGAAGGGATGCCTTGACAGGCTGGAGAGGTGGGCCCATGTGAACCTCATGAAGTTCAGCAAAGCCAATTGCAAGGCCCTGCACATGGGTTGGGGCAGCCCCCGATATCAGTACAGGCTGGGGGTGAATGGATTGAGAACAGCCCTGCCAAGAAGGACTTGGGGATATTAGTAGATGAAAAATGAGTCATGAATTGGCAATGTGCAGTTGCAGCCCAGAAAGCCAATTGTACCATATGAATAGAAGTGTGGCCAGCCAGTCAAAGGGTGTGAGGGTGTGATTGTCCTCCTCTGGTCTGCTCTTTTGAGACTCCACCTGGGGTAATGCATCCAGCTCAGGGGTCTCCAGCTCAAACAGGACAATGACCTCATAGAGCCAGCCCAGAGGAGGGCCACAAAAATGGTCAGAGGTATAGAATACCTCTCCCGTGAAGAAAGGTTGACTGAATTGCGATTGTTCAGCCTGGAGAACAGAAGGCTCCAGGGAGGCCTTGTTGCAGCCCAAAGCATTCTAGGATTCTGAAAAAATCAAATCTTTATAACTGGTGGCTTATTTAGACCTATTCTGTATTTTCAAAATATGAAGTGCTGAATTCTAGGTGGTAATTACTTGAAATCCGTTTTAATAAAAGCAAGCCTTATAGACTGTGGTCAAAGCTTTTATCATAAGCATGGATTATACTGATTAAAATTATGATGAAGTCACAGAAGAGCAAAGACATTCTTTGACTGGCTTTTGGAATATGCTGTGAATCTCACTCTGTTTTAAAAAAAAGAGCTTGTTTCTTTTGTCATTATCATATATACATGTGTTTAGGTATTAAGTTATTAGTCTCTTTTTTCCTTTGGTTACTGGAGGGAGTCCAGTGGAGGACTACAAAGATGGTTAGGGGACTGAAGCATCTCCCCTACGAGGAGAGGCTGAGGGAGCTGGGCTTGTTCAGCCTGAAGAAGAGAAGGCTGCAATGGGACCTAGTATATCCTTATAAATATCTCAAGGGTGGGTGTCAGGTGGATGGGGCCAGACTCTTTTCAGTAGTGCCCAGCGACAGGACAAGGGGCAATGGGCACAAGCTGAAGCATAGGAAGTTCCGTCAGAACATGAGGAAGAACTTCTTCCCTCTGAAGGTGACGGAGCCCTGGAACAGGCTGCCCAGGGAGGATGCGGAGTCTCCTTCTCTGGAGACATTCAAAACCTGGCTGGCTGAGGTCCTGTGCTGCCTGCTCTAGGTGGCAGGGATGGTTGCACTAGATGATCCTCAGAGATCCCTTCCCACCCCTAACATTCTGTGATTCTGTTTATCAGAGAGGATTTTTAGCTTGAGTTCCTGATGAATAGACGTGAATGATTATTCTGAAAGGAGGTCTTGGAAGTCCTCCCATTTGTAGATACAAAACAAGTCTGTTTACTTAGAGTCTCATGTTAGTTAGCACATTTTCTTCATCAGTGTCAGTTTGTGACCTAGCTAGTTGTCTTGTAAATTCTCAGTGCAACCTTTGCATTTAAACTGGGATCATAATGAGTTGCACAGATGCCATTAAAGGGATTATTCTGGCTTTCAGGTTTAACTAGCATGTTTCAGTTGGACAGGTGAGCACACCCTGTGTAAAATCCAGTGAGAGGTAATATCCTCTAGCTGGACTCCCTATTAGTACCTTTGTTTTTCCTGTCACAGTGTCTGTCTTTTTTCAGACAAGGTCTATATCGTAAATGAAAGAGAAACTCAGCCTTTGGTAGACTTTAAGCTATTCTCTTGTCCTCAGCTGTTTAATGTTTTTCCTGTATCAGAACAGTACTGTCATTAAAAGTATTACAAGCAAAACCAAATACAGTTAGTCAAGAAGTACTCCTTACATTTCTTGTAGGCAAATGCTGTGAACAGAACCATAACAAACAATGGCCTGTCTTACAATGACAAATATGGAAGGTACAGCAACTTCTACTGTCCACCAGAATGGTGACATCCATGGGAATACCAATGCACCCAAGCAGACAGAACCATTGCTTCAAGTGTACCTGTATCATTCTCCTGGGAAGACGGGAGGAGATTACCTTCAATTTCCAGCTGGAGAATACGTTGCAGAGGAGATTTGTGCTGCTGCCTGTAAAGCTTGTGGTAAGTATATACATAACAGTTTTCCTAATGAAGGAGTGAATTTCAACTTAATGCAAGAAAGTTTTCAATAATCCACAGTTCATCAAAAGGGGTGGCATTTTAACTGAAATGCTGATCTGTCTGTTCTTTCAGAAGTAATCAGTATCAGAAGTAATTAGCTCCAGGCTGCAAAACTGTTCGTGTTGGAATGGTTGTGAAACTGAGATCATAATTGGGTGATTGCCATCTTTTTTTGAATTTGGGGGTATACTGTACTTTACCTGGAAGTCGTCTTTCCTTTAGCTGAGATATAGTTTGTATAGTTAAATCACAGCAGGAGCTGGAAACAGCTTGAATTAATTTCTGATGCAGCTCTGCAAAACAGATTGGTCCTGGAAATTATGCGTATATTGTATATTATAAATGCTTAATCACTTGCAGATGGAAACTGTTCCATTAGATGTAACATGACTCCTCATGTGCACATGGTTAATGCTTTTCATAATAATTTAGGAAATAATGTAATGTGATATGGGAGCTTTAGGCAGGTAAGCACATACGCATTCAGCAGAAGCACTGCCCAGCATGCATTCCAGGAGACCGTGAGGAAGTAGTGTGGTATTTAGAGGTGTGCAGGGTTTTAGCTGTGTGAGATTCAGCTGCTCTAATGATCTTGTAGGTCTGAGTTTGACAAATGGGCCTGGGAGTGTTCTCAAAGTTAAGGTATCTTTTTGATGGTGACTCAAATCTAAGATCTTCCAGATGTCTTCCACTCTGTCCTCAAGGTTCTGTTGTCTCTTTTCCTCCCCCTGAAAAAAAAAACGTCTCCCCACTTCAGAAAATATGCCCATGCTTATTTTTATAATAAGGATAGATTTCTTCACACTGGTGCCCATGTTTTTTGGGCTTCAGTTCTGCCCCTGTTTGGTTTGTCAGCTTAGTTCAGACCCTCAGGTACAGCATCTAAAGGTGTGTAAGGCTACGGCGTGGGGGCACAAAGTGTCTTCTCTTCCTGAATATTGAATTTTTATGTTAGGTGAGAGTTATTTTTTTTTTAATGGAAATAAATACTGTTGTAGTCACTGAGGGTATTGCTGAGGGAGTGAAATAGAGAACAATTTTACTAGGTAGTAGTGGGAAGAAATGCTTCTTTGTCTAACTTATTCATGTATCAACCTGCCAGAATATTAAACTGACAAGGGTTTGTATCCATCCAATTCAGTATGTTCAAAATAATATGGTCTTGGAAATAATGTACTGTATCATCAACCATGACCTCAGGTGCTTTGCTTCCTATTTGACTAGATTTTTTTTTTTTGTGATAGAAGAACAGCAAGTCGTGTGAATACAAATTTTTCAGTTACCCTTCTAATGAATCAGTTAAAGCTCACATTTCAGAAAATCTCCCAACCTAGTCTGAATTAACTGGAATAGTAACTATGTTTGTTTGATCAGCTGATTTTGCTGGAATAGTAACTACCCAGTTTGATTAGCTGTTTCCACTGTTACTGCTGGTCTGTCCACTTTTATCCTTTTTCTCTGGTTTGAATTTTCCTTGCTTCAGTTTTCAGGTGTTTGCACAAGTTATGTTTTTCTTCTCCTTTCTCCATCACCCCCTAAGGAGATATTTATGTGCCATAATCAAATTATCTTTAGGTCTTTTTTTTGATAAAACTTAAACTGATTGATTTCTGTAGCTTGAATGTCGTCACTGTTTTAATTTTTTGGCTGTCTTCTGCACTGTATCCAGTTTCCAAGGAAAATGTGCAGAGCAGGCCGTGTGTGATATTCTTCTCACCCACATCACAAACATACAAAATCCAGTTCCTGCTAATCTACAAACCTAGTTAGTCTTGTTTCCCGTGACATCATCTGAAGACTTCATACTCTGTCGCTTGTTTTGTCAGGCCTCACCAATCCTTCCCAAGGCTTCTGGCTTTCTGGGGTACCAGTTTCTGCTTTGCTGGTATGGCTAGTACCTAGCTTCTAGGTGTATGCTTTTATACTTGACTGTTTTAAAAAAATAGAATAATTTTGTAAGAGTAGTACTACTTGTCAAGTTGTTTTTATATTTGTTTCTATTGTTTCAGCATTCTTCACCAGACTTTCGAAAGTATATCAGTAGTGATTTACACTACCTGTATAAATAAAATGTTTTGTCATGTTGAGCCTTTATCATTTAGAGCTGAAGTAGACAGTCCTCTGAAGAGAGGTTTCTGCCTGGCAGCTACTATGGCAGCAACATTTTCCTCAAAGGAATTTGTAACTGCATTTCTTTCTGAATTGGTGGAAAAGGCTGAGATCGCTGCAGTTTTTTTGTTCTTTTCCATAACAGTTATTAGTGCTTAAATCACAAGGTACCACTTCTTACTAGTTTCTGGTTTTCCTAGGAGGTTTTGTGGTTGTATGGCAGAACATGTAGGTCTGCAAAGCCTGTACAGTCAAACAATGTTTATGTTGGCAAGACTTGTCTTTCAAGAGTTAGCTGTGCATCAGAAGACTTCATAAAGAAGAGAGTGGTGCAGGTACTAGGCATGTATGAAATAATAACAAGCTTGGTAATTGTTAATGAACTTTCTCTGTGATCTGAGCAATTGTGAGATCTCTTGGTAGGAGATCTGATTACGTCAACGTAAGACTGTTGTTGGTGGCAAGCAGGACTGGATCTAGGCTAAAAAAAACGAAGTGTAATTGAAAATAAGGTGAACTGAATTTTACTGTAGTGTAGGTAAATCAGATACAGACTACTGGGAACATCTGAAGTCTTTGAGTTTGAATCTTGGATGTATTTATTTGTATACGGAAAGAAGGATGTTTTATATGCTATGTTAGTGTCACTATGCTGTACCAATAATTTTTCAATAAGGTACTACTCAGTCTCTTGTCAGTGGATGTAAGAGGTTTTTATCATCAGATAATTTAAAAACAACTGAACAAACAAACAACCCCACAACTTGGACTGTACACTGTGAGTTACCAGAATAATACGTTATACACAAGACCAGTATTACATGGAAAAATAATTTTATTTTAATTTTTAAAATAACAATTTGTTGATTTATTCCATCAGCTGAATAATAAAGAGTAAAAAATATATGCATCACTTGTGTGTATAATCAAAATTATTACTCAGTTAAAGTTAACAAAGTGAAGATATTTTTATATTACATGAGGCAAGTGAGTTTGTAAGTCACAGTTAAAACAGTTACAGTTGTAAGCAAAGCATTGCTTTGGTGTTAGCCACGTAAATTTGTGCCATTTTCTTGAAAATGTTAATAAAGTAGTAGTAAGGTATGCAGAGCTAGTGACTTTAAATGTAACTATAACATTTAAATAGCACACTGAAAAATTTTTTGGCAAAGTCAATCGAGGACCATAGTCTTGTTTAGCGTCTTGGATTTCTGCCATGGCTTGTCCATCTGGTGTATATGAACCCTAAATTTCTGCAGGCTGTATCTGACATTTTACAGGCAGTTGTTCTGATTTCCCTCCTCCTTTCTGTTAGAATCGGTAAACCCTGAAATTTTAACTTTTTAATGGAACTAGAATCCCAGGAGCAGACTAGTTCGATGATCCTGACTGTGTTGCTGAGTTACAGACAGCTAGCAGCTAACAAAATACTTTGAATTTGTTGGCTTCTGCATTTGGGGCTTTTTTTGGGTTTGTGGTTTTTGTGGTGTGGGTTTTTTTGTTTGTGTCTTTTTTTTAATGTTGGTATCCTGAAACTCCATCTAGGAACCTCTTAATTCTCACCTATCTGATTTGCAGATAGATTGGAAGTTCCATAGTACATTACCTGAAAACTGCTGGTGCCTCCTGGAAATCTGTAAGATAGCAGAGAATTTTTGATAACACGGAAGTGAAAACACTGTTTCAAAACACTTAATGTGACTAAACACTGACAGTGTCTGCAGTCTATTAAACGTTTTCAAGGGAGTGACTGCGTTGCATAACATGATGATTGTGATGATCTGTAGTACCCCTTAGCTTGTGTGGTTCAGAGGAGATTCCTTGTTAGTAGCAAGAGAATTTTACACAGATTTATCCTTAACATGCTCAACGTCCAGAATTTGCATGGCTCAGAGTTACCACGGGTTTTAACTGCCCATTGTGGATTTTGGGGGGAAACTGGGTTTTTTGAGTTTGTTTTTTAGTTTTGTTTGTTTTTTTTCTTGAGTGATAGCCTTTCCTGAAAATACGTACACAACATCCTCCACCCTGCCCCAACGTGAGGAACGGATTAGTCAGAATTCTGGGCAATTCTGGTTTGCCAAGAAAGGAAGCAGGCTTTGATTAACAATTCAGAAAACATTTTGTTGACAGGATAGTGACATTGAATGTGATGTCAGAGTTTGGTAAGTTTCCGGTTTGTATGAAAGATCAGGGTAAGAGTTTATTTTGATGTAAGAAAAGCCAAGCATTTTTCCATCTGGTATGTTCAAGACTTTGTAAGTTTTCGATAGTGTACTTCACAGTTTTGTGTGTGAGAACTGACTAATGTTTATGTTGGACTTCGAAAATGTGAGATTTTTTAATTGTTTTTGATCATTAACTCCATGCAACTAATTGCTTTTATCTGTATATGTCTAGTGACTTATTAATATGCTTGAATTGACAGTTTCATAAGACATTATTTCTGCTATAGATGATACATGGCTTCCACATTTCATAGCCGTGTCATGGCTTTTTGCAATTTATGGTTTCTGGTTTTTATTTTTTCTTTACAGAGGAACGTTATCTAATGAACACATACCATATGGGTGAAAGGCTACCTAATGCCAACAACAGAAGAAATATAGAAAAACTGCATTTCCTTACGCTACTTCATTTACCCTGAAGTAGCTGACTTATCTCGATATACAGCTCTAAAATCAGAATGAGGAAAGGAAGAAAATACTATGCAGATCATTCTTTTTCTTTAGGTTTGAAGTAGAAGTTTGAGGAATAGACTTGTGCTGTGTTACAGCCATTCAAGATGTTACTTGACCGTCTGTATAGCATGATGAGGCTCCTTTATTTAGCCCTATGTGCTAAGTAAGATACCTGCCAAGAGACAGTCATGTTTTTGTGTTCGCACTAGTCGAGAAATTTATTGAATAGCCTTTGCTGGAGAAGCAAAGAGGAGAACGACTCTGCTTTATTACATCTGAGTCACTATCTCCTCTCCTAAGTAATCATTGATTGATTTGATAGCATGGTAAGTGCAGTGAAGAAATCCAGGGGAGATTTTTTAGTACCTGTTCTGAACAGCTTTTCTGATTTTACTTGTGTTGAAAATATATTTCTCAGAAGTTTTCACTATTGTTGACATATCTAGACTTCATCAGGAGACTTTGATTCCCCAACCTCCCATACCTCCACCCCCCAGTTATTTGTTTTTTGTTGTTTCTGGAGAAAACACTTAAATACTGCAGTTACCATTTGCTTGAAAATTCCCTACAATTAATAGTGCCAGTAAGAATTACATGACAAGATATGTTTCTGGCCTCTCTGCTTTCATCAGACGACTGTGGACAATTTTCAAGACGCTAATGAGGGGATTTACTCGTTCGATCGTTGAACTTTTTGAAGCGTAGCAATACTCTGGCACAAGTGCATAATTCTGAAAGGGAAGAAAAATGTGTTACACTTCTTGAAAAACGTGTACGATCTGTATGTCATTGAGCACTGACAGTAAAGGTACAAGTTACCATTCAGAATTGTAAATGCTGAAATATGAGAGATGGATGAGTGCACAATTTACTTTTGTACACAGGAAAACAGCAAAGAAGATTTTTTGGAATCTTTTTTTTGTTAATGCCAACATTTCTGACCTGTAGGGGAAATTCCAAAGTCATGTTCCTTGCTTAGTGAAAGAATGGCAATTATATGATCTGGATTGAAATGTCTGTGGGGTTTTTTGTTTTGGTTTGGTTTTTTTAAGAGGTGGGGACAGGGATAGGTGGTGTCTGTAATGTATTTGATGGAATACAGCAGCTTAACATTTGAATTTGAGAATATGACTTGGAGATTTTTTCTTGTTCAGTGAGCTTACATGGCATTGTTAATATATTGTTACAGGAAAAGTAGTAGTGAGACTAGGTAAATGTTCAGCATTGCCTTGAATGGTGTTTAGCATCTGGCTAGAATCCTGAAATAGGCTGGTGATTCACATGCATTACGCTGTGAATGATCTGAAATTATTTGGGATACAGGCACCACAGTCTTAAAGCTACAAAATCAATTGTTAGTGCTTTATAGACAACTGATCTGTAATACAATCTGGTTCATCCCACTTCACACATCAAATGAGAACCATGTTTGGTGGCGTGGTATGGATTTCTTTTTAACTCCATAAAGTGGAGTTAATTTAGTATTTCTCAGTTCTCTGATGGATCAAATATGTCTTACAGCACCATAAATTTGCAACATCTAGATTTACAGCGAATCCTTCAGTGACTAATCCCTTCAGGGTTATTCCTGTGGGGGTCTTGTTTAGTTTTGGTTTCTCTTTGGTTACTTTACGTAATTGTTTCCAGTTCTGTGGTTTCCTGTAAGTCTATGACTTCTTTTCATAGAAAATGATGTGTTAGGACCTGTAGTTCATGTATCTTTTGGTGATCTTTGGTTTAAACAAGTGTCAGATGGTTAGCCTGTAGATTTCACCTGTTTAATATGACATCTGCACAGTAGACCTTTTGTTCTTAGCCCTCTTACTGGCTCCCTACAGGGACAAACACCATTTTGTAACAGATTTAAGCTAGTTGTTATTTAAGACTGTTTGTTCCACAAGCTTATACATTTTCATATGTGGAGTTGATTAGTTGTTTCTAACTGATTGCCTTGCATGCACTACAGATGTGATGAAAGAAATTTGTGTCTGTCACCTTCAGTAGTTACCTAGGTGTTGTTCAGAACAGAAAGAAGGAGGGGATTTTTTTTTCTCCTCCTGGTTTCTGGTGAGAATTTCTATGATTTCATTCTAAGTCTTTGGGGAGGGTTGTGAGTACTTTGCCTTTTCCAAGAATTCTTCTGTCTCTTAATGTCATTTTAAGTTACTTTTGTTGTAACTTTGTTGCTTTTTCAGTATTTCTTGCCTACTTCCCCCCAAGGTGTCTTGCTTGATTGTAAACAGTTTTCTTTCATCATGACCTACTGTGACTTTCCCAATGTAATTTTCATCCTACTCCCTGACCTCTAGACCTGTATCTCTTCCTGTCTTCAAAATACGTTTGTCAGTGGTTGAAGTTCATCCTTTTGTGCTGTCAATTCTCAGGCATTTAACCTGTTTTCCAAATCATAGCACTGGCATCGTGTGGTTGCATAACACTGCAGCATAGCACAGCGCTGTGGCATCTGTCTTACCTTAGGCTGTACTTTCAGCTGGGAGCCCCAAAGCCAAGGTAAACTCTGGTACTGCTGAAGAGTTGATGCTCAACTGATTTCTGTAGTTTTTGATTAAGCAGGAGTGCTTGTCAGTTCTCGTTAAAACAATCCTCAGTTGTTGAGGGGAAAAGAGTATTTTCCAGTTTTGTTCAATTAACAGTATATGTTTAGATTTGTTCTCAACTGAGCTACTGAAATGTAAATAGCAGGTGGTTGTCCTAGTCACGATGAACTTCTGTGTATTGCTTTATTTCTGATCTTTTTTTTTTATCAGTCTAAAATATTAAAATCAATGCCTAGGTCTGTTTTTGGAGAAGGTAAGGAAAAAGGTAATGCACTGTTGATAGCTGTTAGTAAGCTGAGAGGCTAAGAAGCCATTGTATTAAGTGCCATGCAGAGAAAATCTTGCAATCTAGCAGTGAAGTATAGAATAGCAGGTGAACACAGCCTGCAGTCAGAGAACATAAAAGAAGAATGAGAAAATAAACCAGCAAAAACAGTCTGCCGGTTTTGGGGGTGATGATTGCAGTGCTGTTGATGGTGATAGAGCAGTGCAATGAATAGTTGGAGAATATGTGCCAATACGCTACTTTTAACCCATGATATTTTTTTTTTCAGTTAGGTTGATTCTTTGTGAAAAAAATTTCCTATAAATGTTTGCTTCTGTGTTCTTTGTTTAGGCATCATGCCAGTGTATCACAACATGTTTGCACTCATGAGTGAAACAGAGAGAATGTGGTATCCCCCAAATCACATCTTCCATGTAGATGAAACAACCAGACTCACCCTACTTTACCGGATAAGGTAATCAAATGTTATGCACTTTTCGTGGTAAAACAAAATAACATGAGAAACACAACCAATAAGATATTTAGTTTAATCATAGTTTCTGTAAGAAGTTATGAGTAGGTTGTTGGTGATATCTGAATAAGAGATAGAAAAAAGAATCAAAATTATTGGAGTAGGTTTGAATAACATATTTTATCGATTGTCTGTATGTCATATGTTTGCCATGTCAGACTGAGGAAACAATGCAAAATACAGCAGAAGTATAAATAATATTTTTCTTAATAATGAGATATCTCATCTCCTCTGTGCTTGCCTGTTTGAAATTAGTGGCAGTTCTGAAGAGCGGAGTAATTATGCTGTGTGGTCAGGCAGATGTCTATAATAAAACCATTTTGCTCTAACCTGATTTTTTTAATGTGGATGTCTAAAGCTAGAGTCACAGTTTTCCTTATGTGAAAGATGTTGTTTATTTACATTGTAGAATGTGGCCTGAGTGTTTCTTTAGGAACTGTCTCAAAAGAAACTGGAAGACAGTAACAGAAAATTCTCTATATTCTGATTAGTGTGGATAACTTTGCAGAGCTCCTTGTTCGTTCCGATACAGCTTATCGCCCTGCTGAAATGTTGTAGTACTTTAAGACACAAACAACTGGATCCAAAGCCTTCTGTTGACTAACTGGGGCTTCTTATGGATCCTCCAAACTAACTACATGTCTGTGAAAGCAATGTCTGGTGTTGGTGAGCAAAAGTACCCGTTTATTGATGTTTGCTTAAATATTTCCTAACAGATTTTATTTTACCCACTGGTATTGCAATGACAACAATAGAGCATATCGGTATGGCATTCTTCGAGGTGCAGAAAGCCCTGTTCTTGATGATCTTGTCATGTCTTACCTATTTGCACAGGTATGCTTTGCTTCTTTTTTTTTTTTTTTTAATGGTAAAGGTTGTTAGTATTTATTCCCATTCAAGTCTACGGATAGTAACTGTGTAGGCTCTTTTAACAGCTGGTAGCCTACTCAAGATGCAAATGAAATCCCATGTCATATTGTGAATTTGGAGAAATGAAACTCAAGTGGCAGTTGTGGGGAGAGCAGTGAGAGTGTGTAGCTCCTTTCTTGTGCCACTGCCATCTGGAAGTCTTTCAGTGTGACTTTCGTTTTGGACTGACACAATGTAGAACAACATCCTCTCCATATGGACTTTTTCAAGATTTGAAGCAATATTTTTAGAAGAATTTTTTTTAAGCATGGTGGTAGCTGGTATCCATTATGAACATTTTTGTGGACTAAGGGGTTCATTCAGAAGAATGCAGTCTTGGGGAAAAAAAAAATCAAAAAATCACAACAAAAAAAACCCCCAAAACACACAAACAAAAAAATACACCCCCAAAAACTTTTATTGGTGAGCAGCAGAGCTACAGTTTTAATTTGCTTTCTTGCATTCTTCTTTCTCAGTGGAGAGATGATTTTCTGGATGGATGGATACAGATGCCTGTTACTCATGAAACACAAGAAGAATGCCTTGGAATGGCTGTTCTGGATATGATGAGAGTGGCCAAAGAAAAGGACGAAACCCCATTGGCTATTTACAATTCAGTCAGGTGACTCCATACTTAATAACTGTATCACACCTATGAGATATCTAAGCACAGTATTTTTGCACTTTAGCATCTGGGAGGAGATATTCAGCTGTTGGCAAATGATTTATTCTAGCATAACAATTCCATAAACTTACCTACAGTGTAAACTAGAGATTAATAGAGAGCTTCTGTCATGATGGCAATTGAATTTTTTGGGTATGTGGTCTTTGTTCCCTTAATGAGAGGTAAGGCAGCAGCTGCGCATACGGGAAAGGATGTAAGCAATAATTTGAGTTGGGAGAGACCTCTGGAAGTCATTAGATGCAACCTCCTGCTCAGATCAGGGCCAGCTTCAAAGTTAGATGAAGTTACTCAGGACCTTGTCCAGTCAAGTTCTGAAAATGTCCAAGGATGGGGATTCTACCATATCTCTGGGCAGCTTTATCCTGTGTATGATCACCCTCACTGAGGAAGATTTTCTTCGTACCTAGTAAGTCTCCTCTGACATACTGTGTGTCTGTTGCGACACATCTGAGAAGAGTCTAATTCAGTCTTCTCAATAACCATTTGTTAGTTGAAGACAATCACAGAATGTTCGGGGTTGGAAGGGACCTCTGTGGGTCATCTAGTCCAACCCCCCT